TGGGGAGTTTTTTCTGCCTTCCTTCCTCCCCTCCTTCCCTCCCTCCCTCCCTTCTTTCCTTCCTTCTCTGGGGATTAAACCAAAGGGCGCTTTACCACTGAATTATATCCCTAGCCCATTTATTTATTTGTTGGAGACAGGGTCTCACTAAGTTACTAAGGCTGACCTCCAAATTGCAACCCTCCTGTCTCAACCTCTTGAGATGCTGGGTTACCAGCGTGTGCCATTGTGCCTGGCTCCACTGGTTTCTTTCTTTCCATCCTCCCTCCCTCTCTTTCTCCCTCCCTCCCTTTCTCCATCCCTCCCCTCCCTTTCTTTTTTGGTACTGGGGATTTAAACCAGGGGCACTCAACTACATCCTGAGCACTATTTTAAGCTTTTTAAATTTTGAGACAGGGTCTCACTGAGTTGCTTAGGGCCTCACTAAATTGCTGAGGCTGGCTTTGAATTTGCAATCCTCCTGCCTCAGCCTCTAGAGCTGCTGGGATTACAGATGCGCACACTCAGCACTACTGGTTTATTTTCAATGAAATTTTCTGAATCTTGTTTGACAGCAGTTTTTTCATAAATCATCCCAGACTGAAAATTACAAATATGAGAGTGGTGTCCAGGGGACTCCTATAAACTCTTATCCAATGGTAACTAGAATATTGACCTGCATACAGCAAGGGCTCTGTAGTGGGTTTGATGGAATGAATGAATGAATGAATGCAGCTCCAAGATCACCAACTTCTAAATCAGGATGAAATTAATTCCTTCCTTCCTTCCTTTCCTCACTCCCTCCCTCCCTCCCTCCCTCCTTCCTTTCTTCCCAGATATTCGTGATCATCTGCTGGTGCCCAGTGCTATACTGGGTGCTGGCAATTAAGTAGTAAATATGACAGACACAAATTCTCACCACGGCAAGCTTCCATTCTCTTGGAAGAGGCTGACCATAACCAAAGCGGTCAAGTGGAACGCATGCAGCATATCATATGACCCTGATATGTTACAGATTAACTATGTTGTTATCATTTTGTCATATTATTTAGCTGGTGATTACTTCTAAGAGGAAACTTAGAAAGTCATCCTGGGAGGCAGAAGGGTGTTGGAGTTAGTATAGAGCCAGGGAATTTTCTCTTCTACAACAAGTGGCCCAGGATATCCTTACTGAGTGAGCCTTGGGGATACACCAGGAAAGAGCAGGAGCACCCAGGGCACAGGCCTGAGATGGGAGCATGGTGGTGGGTGTCGGAGGAGCCTGGTGTGGCTGGAAGGAGTGGGCAGGGAGGTGCTGGAGAGGAGGTCAGAAGGGTGTGGGCTGTCAGTGCCCCACACAGGACTCCTTAGGCTACTGTTCCGTCTGGAGATGAGGAGTCATCTTGGTCCATTTTGTGCTGTATAACAGAATACCAGGAATAGTAATTCATGGAGAACAGATTTATTTCCTATAGTCCTGGAGGCTGGGAACTCCAAGATCAAGGAGCCCACATCTGGGGAGGGCCTTCTTGCTATATCACCCATGGCAGGAGGTGGGGTGTGGGTGAGGGGCAAACTCTTCTTCCTCTCAGGATCCCACTCCTGGAATAATCCATGAGTCCACTCTTGAGGGCAAAGACCTCATGCCCTAATCATCTCTCAGCGCTCTTGCATTGCTGATTACTCTCCGAAACCTGAACCATACAGGAACCGGAAGTTTCCAAGCAGAGGTACCATGAGGCTTTAACAGCATCCCTCAGGTTGACCCATTGCAATAGTAGGAAGGGGAGTCCGGGAGACCAGGGTGTGAGGGTTGGGGGGTTGGCAGACAGGGAGGCCTTTAGGAGAGCCTTGCAGTAAACCAGCGCAGGGATGATGGGCGCCTTAGAGATGGCCAGAGGGGATCTTTATACATAGGGGTCTAGCTTTTAGAAAGCTTTTTATTTTGGAAAATTTCAAGCATACAAATGTGAAGTGAATCCCATGTATCCTTTGGCCAGCTTTGACAATCCCACTTGGCCAATCTTCTTTCATCTACGTCTCTATCCAACAGGTTAGATTTTTTTTTTCTTTCAGTCCTGATGATTGAACCCAGGGCTTCATGCATACTAGACAAGCACTCTGTCAGTGAGCTACACTCCTAGACTTTTTTATTTTGAGGCAGAGTCTCGCTTAGTTGCCCAGGCTGGCCTCAAACTTGCAATCATCCTGCCCCAGGCTCCCAAGGTATGTGTCACTGTGCTGAACAATCCTTATGGTGTGTACAGTCCTGAGGATTAAACCCAGAGCCTCACACGTGCTAGCAAACACTCTACCACTGAGCTCCATCCCAGGCCAAGAGTAGATTATTTTTAAAGAAAATTTTAAATATTTAATTTCAGTTGTAAATATTACAGAATGTATTTCTAAAAGATAAGAACTCTTTATAAATTACTACAATAACAGAATTACAATTAAGACTTTGACAATCTATAAATCTCCAATCCCATATTCAACATTTTACCTTATATACTATGTTTTTAAAATTGATTTGTTCGATTGATGTATTGATTTGTTCGAATCAGGGCCCAAAATCCAAGCACTGCATTGAGTGTATGGATGTTCTAAATCTCTCTCCTTTTAAAATTTGCTGTAGTGAAATACACACAAGAATTCACCATTTTCAGCATTGTAAAGTGATAGTTCAGTGGCATTAAGTATATACACATTCTTGTGTAGCCATCACCCATCCCTCTCCACGACTTTTTATTTTCCCACACTGAAACTCCTTACCCACTAACACCTCCCACTTCCCTTCCCTACCCCCAGCCCCAGCCCCAGCCCTTGGCAACCACCATTCTATTTTCCATCTTTATGAATTTGACAACTCTAGAATCTTAGTCCACTTTGTGTTGCCATAACAAAACACCTGAGTTTGTGTCCTTTATAAAGAAAAGATCCATTTCAGAGACCGAAAACTCCTTTGTTTGGCCCCTGGTGGCGCCTGTTGTTATATCACAGTGGAAGACATTCCAAAGAGATGTCACAGGGTGAGACAGGAAGCAACAGAATGGAGAGAGGCTAGGCTTGCTCTTTTATAACAGCTTGCACTCACAGGATCTAATCCCCTCTTGTGAGACCTGGTCCACTCCCAAGAAACAGCATGGATCCATTCACAAGGGCGGAGCCCTGTAATCTAGTCACCTTCCATTTGTGCCCCCACATGAACTTCTGGGGGACAAACATGAATGTGCCGGAGCTCCCACCTCCTCCTTTCTTCCCCGCCATTCTGTAGATGGAATGGGCACTTTCTTGATTCTGCTGATTACAGCCCATGATTTTAACTTGTGCTTTTGGCCTGTTTCCTGTAACAAGCATGTGGAGATTTTGTTGTTGTTTTAAAATATCATTTGAAGGTTGAATGGACAGGGTTTTGACAAATTGAAGGTGGGGTATGAGAGAGAGGGGTCAAAGGTGGCTCCAAGGGTTTTGGATGAATGGAGTTGCCATTTTCTGAGACAGGGAAGACTGGGGGGCAGCAGATTTGGAGAGGAGACGGTTTGGACACTTGAGGTCTGAGATGTTTGTTAGGCTCTCAGGGGAAGGTGCCAGTTGGGCATGGGAGTCTGGAGCACAGGAAGGAGGTATAAATTTGGACTTGCCTCTGGATGGATGGCATTTAAAGCCTGGAGACTGGATGGATTCCCTGAGAGAGCAAACACATATTTTATTTTTTTCCTCAGAGAGGGAAAAAGCTCAGGTGCTGAGCCTTAGGGCACTTCCATATTAAGTGGCAAGGAGATTGGGGAGGAACCAGCAAAGGAGGCTGGGAAGGGTCACCCAGTGTGGTAGGAGGAAAGCTGGGAGAGCCGGAACCCTGGACGCCACTCGTTCACAGGAGGAGAGGATGACACATGGATCAAGTGCTGCAGACAGGCCAAGTAAATTAAGGACTGAGAATTAATTATTATTTGGTGGAATACGGATGTTCTCTTTTGTGGTGCCCTTTAAACAAGTCATGTATAATTAAATTAAAACTCAAATTTTCCAGGGAAGTGATTTTCATATGTAGAATTACTAAACTGCAAAGTCATAGTGATTAGAGAGGTTAATGGTTAAGAACAGAAGCTGGTAAGTCATGAAACCTGAATTAAAATGTTAAGCTATGTAATTCTGGGCAATTAACCCACTGAGCATCAGACTTCTCAGAAGTTGACTGTAAAACAGGACTTAGCAGGGTGCCTGCATTGTCTAACGTGCCCAAGGCGTTGTTGGCTGTTCCACATGTGATAGGCTGACTCTCAGCTACTTTTGCCTAGGTATTTGAAAGAACAGAAGAGCCATCATGTTAGTTAAGTGTGTGCTTTAAATAGAGAAAAAGTCATCCACAATTGGAATTTTGCTGAAAAAATGGTAATCTTAGCATAAATTGATTAATATGTTAAAAACATTTCTGAGGGGCTGGGGTTGTAGCTTAGTGGTACAACACTTGCCTAGCACACTTGAGGCACTGAGTTCGATCCTTAGTACCACATAAAAATAAAATAAAGGTATTATGACAACTTACAACTAAAAAAAATTTTAAAAATGTCTGAAACAATCATTCCAACAGAACAAAGAAAATGTAGACTCAGCTCATAAAGGAGGGAACTTTTGCCTTCAAAAATCTCTGGCTCAGTTATGCTAGTAACTATCTTAATAGATACCCAACACCTGGATGAGGCTATTAGTAAGATTTACTTTGGCTTTGTGCACTGTTTTTAAAAAGCTTTGGTTCCGCTTGTATTTGTTTTCTGTATCTGAGCAAATAAACACCCGGTGTTTTTCAAGAGCGTTTTGACCCTGGGATGCTCCTGGGGAAAGCAGGATATAAGCTTGCCCGCAAACCTGAATCAAAACAAAAGGCCACCATTGCCACACATCTGGTGACCAGACAAGTTCACTTAGTCTCAGCTGGGTGGCAAGTTCCAGGGAGCTCATGTTAGACACCTAGAGACCCTGGAACAAACTGAAGCCTGAGCCAACACTCAACCTATGTTAGTTGAAAGATGGGAAAAGGAAGGACAGCCCTGTTAGGAGGAGCTACTTTGTTACTGATGGGGCACAATATGGTTTTGGTGTTAAAAAATCATTCTCATTTATTCCTGATGAGAGTACAAATGGGGACCAGCATTCTGGAAAAACAACTCAAACTGGAAGGATCTTAAAGGTCTAAACACAAACATGTTCACTATAACCTTATTCAAAACATTTTTTTAAAAGAAATAATCAAAACTTTTAACAATAGAATACATAATCATAGTACAGCATAGTGTGTAGGGTAGACTATTCTACTGATATTAAAAATGATGTTTCTTCCCTTCTCTTCTATCAATATTAAATTCCAAGTCTCCAGGGTACTGTTCTAGGCATTTTGGATGCATTAAAATAATAACACAAAGGTTGCTATTTTGGTGGGGTTTTGCATAGGAGTGGGAGCAGGAGTCAGATAATACAGGGTAAATTAGAAAGCTTTCAGGGATACCTAAAACAAAGTGGAATAAGGTAAGAGGCAAGGGTAGCGTTGAGTGTAGGGTAACAGGGCTTCTGTTTGAAAAAGGATGGTCTTTTGGCTGTGTGCTTAAAACTGCTCTAAAAAAATAAAAGTCTATTTTTAAGAATAAAATGGTCAAGGAAAGCGTCATCCCTTGGAAGAGAGGCAAATACTGAGGTGAGAGAGAAAACCAAGAGTGTGTGACAGTAGAAAATGCTAGTATTCAGAGAATATCTGGGTGCAAAGCTACACATGCAATAGAGTGCCGAAAAAAACTGAAAATAGTAAACACAGCAAGGGTACCATGAAGGATAAGTACTTTCGTTCTTTTCACTTCTTCCATCTTCAGCAAGCATTTTTTTAATGTTTTTTAAAAATCCACTAGTCGAGTGTGGTGGTGCACGCCTGTAACCCCAAAGGCTCTGAAGGCTGAGGCAGGAGGATCACAAGTTCTAGGCCAGCCTCATCAACTTAGAGAGACCCTGTCTCAAAATAAAAAATAAAATAAAATAAAAATAAAAAGGGCTGGGGATGTGGCTCAGTGGTTAAGCACCTCAGGGTTAAACCCCCTGTCGGTCAGGGGCCTCTGGACCTCACCACACGCCCCGCCCACCAAGACCACGCCCACAGCGCCCCGCCCACTCACGCTCCTTCCCGAGGCCGGCAGGGGGCGTCCCTCGGATCAGCGCGCTCCCACAGGTCTCGCAAGCCATGGGCTGCACCGGGGGCCGCT